GCTGGGTAACAGGTTAGGCCTGCCTGGTATTGTTCTTATACTACTACTTTAAACTTAGGTCTGACGACAAGTTACTTATAAAGATATTTTTGTATCTCTTGGTATTGAATTAAAACATTCTCCTTTTTGACATTCTCTTCTGATATCTATATTGTTTTCAAAATGTTTTTAAAATATAAGTATACCAAAATTGTGATATAGGCCATTCAGATGATTACCCATAAAGGTTATATAAGAAATATGAGCCTTAAGTATCTCCAAATGCCTAGAAAAGAAATCTATTTTTTCTGAGAAAATCGTCTTAGTACCAATGCTTCAGTAACAAATTCTAAAAAAAATATATTTTCGAGGAATATGTCGTCTGACATTGAATTTAATATCATAAATATGTTTAAACATACAAACCTTAGAAAAAGATATTTTAAAAAAAAGGAGAATGTATGCTAGAATTAAAGAAAAATACCCCTTTTTCTGATGATCTTTTTGTACGTTATTGCATGCTTACTATTTGTAGGTAAAATTGGTCATTAACAAGTTTTTTTAAAGCAAAAGAATTTAATACTCAAGCATCTAAAGAGGTGAAAGACATAAAACACTTTGTAAAATAAGCAGTCAGGGATTCGTTACTACTATGTTTAAAACTTTCAGAAAGATATCACGTGAGATCAAAATCAATATTAAAAGTTATTAAGAGATCTGTTATATAATAATTAAAAATTATAAAACAGTCTTAGAAAGACCAGAATGAAGTTTATGAGTATTGTTGATGATTGTTTAAGTGTTATTTTTGGACATTCAGAACTTGACTTTTTGTCATAAGTTGTGATTTTTTCCCGTTGAAAAAATCTCATGAAAATGAATCATGAAAACACTTTTTCTTTCTTAAAAAATATATAATTTAAAAATTTAGTTTAGAACTGTTCAAGATCAGACCCGGGCTTTTTTCTAGTATTGATTGGGTTTCAGGTTAGCTCTCGGTGGTACTATGTAACCTTTTTTAAAGATATTGATAGAAAATGTACATTCATTTATTTGGGTTTTTGATCATTTTATTTAGCCCTAAAATGTGCTATTATGATAAATTTTTATTAAACTTCACCATTTATGGTAAATTTGACTAAATTAAAGTACTAATTATAATTGTTTCAGAAGAATGATTTTTGTAAAATCAAATATACACAGGTCACATAATATAAGCAAGATGGACAAGTTTTTTTTATCTCGATCACATGAATTGGAATTTGCTTTCAAAACCAGTAATTCCAACTTATTACAGATCAAAAGTGTAATTAAGTGTTGATGATATATGTTTTGATGTGTGGGGTATGCCAAAACGTCATTATAAAAATACACAAAAAAAACAGAAATAGCCATGACAGCGGAAGCTGGAGCGATTTTTAAACAAGTGACGAAACTGAGCAAACTGGAGGTTGATTCAAACTCTCTCGATGTAAACGTGAGTGAAATTAAGTCAGACTAATGCAATTCTATCTGAATCAAGTGTGCATCTTTACAATATTATTTTTGGCGATTCATTTTCAAAAGGAAACTACCGTTCACGGTAGCTCAGTCGGTAAAGCGCTCGCTTCGTGATCGGGAGGTCGTGAGTTTGAATCTCGGCCGCGACTGACCTTTGTCGATAAAAATGGATAACAACTGTTCCTTCGCCAAGTGCTCGGCACTTTGAAGTGAAAGTTTTGGGTCCTTCGGATGAGACCTTAAAAACTGAGGCCCCGTGTCAGCCGCAGGCGTTGGCACGATAAAGATCCCTCACTGCTCAATGGCACTGAGTGCCGAGTAAAGGTAAAATTTGAAGCCCTTCACAGGTATACGATGAAGTCTCCATATGAGTGAAATATTCCCGAGAGGGATGTTAAACAATAAACAATAAATCAATCAAAGGAAACTAGGAAGAAAAAGCTACAAAACTCAATATGGCCCCAAGGTCATTTCCGAATATTACTCTACCCAAAGTTGACTTTTCAATATCTGATAAGCTTTCTATTGTTATAAATGCTATTTAAAATCTGAAACGTCTGTTTGAATCTCAACTTGATATATTAAGAACTGATTTAATAAAAAAAAAATGAAAAAATAAGAATACTTCGAGATGTGCTTTCGATAGACATGGATCGAGAGATGCAACGTGTAGACAAGCTCCTGAGAACTTCTCAGTCATTACAAACTCGACTAGAGGGTGTCGAACAATGTAGACAGGCAGTAAACGATCGCGGTACAAATGTATGCTCAGGCGAATAGAATCAATAGACCGTACCGATATTACAGTTACGGCCAGCAGCATTCCGCTTTCAGAAGGCGAGGACCCCTTGCTCAAAGCAAAGGATCTCATTCATTCACTAGGAGAGGAGGTCTCCTCAAACGTACAAGTGATAGCGGCAATGTGGATCCCAAGCAGATTTAATAATCGGTCTGGTCTCATTAAATTCTGCTTAAGGAATAAAGATGAGAAAATACTGGTTCTACAAAACAAAATGAAACTGAAAGACACGGACGAGTACAAAACAGTTTTTATTAAAAGTAGCAAATCCCGTGAAGAACGTCTCATTGAAATGAATGCAAGGACCAAGGATGTTATAGATCACGCCTAAGCTAGTATTGCTCAATAGATGCATTTGGATATTTGTTGATGGACAACAGGACATATTTACATCCCACAAGACTCAGTGATCTATATCAAATAATTTGCTGTGCTGATTTAATGCTAAACAGTCCATTGTAGATACACATAGTATATTTAAAAATCACCTGGAGAAAATAATCAGATATTGACGATTTGTGCTAGGTGACACATTGGTCCATAAGACCTGATGTTTCTATACTAGTGCTGACTTTATATAAATGATTGTTCATTTTTTTTTAACTTAACACGTGTCAGTTTAATAAATAAACACTACTACTGTATAGGATTATTGAAGAAATAAACATTGCACAGGACGACAAAAATGTAAAATTGCTTCATCTAAAGCTTAGAAATAGTTATTTCATTGCAACTACATGTATTAGTAACAAAAGTTCAATAATATTCTTTTTCCCTGTCTTTAAAATACCAAATTACATGATTGCAACAAACTTTTCGACACCATAGGGACTTTGTATTTTGTCGGACAAAACATTAGACTTTAAAAAATGACAGAAATTTCATGTTTTGATGTAGTTATAGAATACATGTGTATATTGTATCTCGAAGTATAACAATATATGCAGTACTGTTGGGGCTTCCCGGAGCTTAAAATGCATTTAAAAAGTAACTTAGTTTAAAATGTAATCAACATTAAAACCAAATAGTGTTTCTTGTATGAAGTTTATTTAATTAGTTTGCGAACTTTTTGATCACCCCTGGTATTTAAAAATCTCGTGGAGAATATAATCCGATACCTGACAATTTACGCTAGTTGACATTTAGGTCCATAGGGCCTGATGTTTCTATACTATTGCTGAATTTATATAAATGATTGTTCATTTTTTTTTTTACTGAACACGTGTCAGTTTAATAAATAAACACTACAACTATATAGGATTATTGAAGAAATCAACATTGCACAGGACGACAAATAAGTTAAGTTGCTTCATCTAAAGCTTATAAATACATGTAGTTATTCCATTGCAAATATGAGAAACAAAAGTTTATTAATATTCTTTTTCCCTGTCTTTAAAATACCTAATTAGATTATTGCAACAAACATTTCGACACCATAGAGACTTTGTATTTTGTCGGACAAAACATTAGACTTTAAAAAATGACGGAAATTTCGGGATTTGATGTAGTGTTTTTGTAAACTTTAAATAAACGGATCAGCTGTGTACCTAGGCAAATCAAGTGAGTGACGTCATTTTTATCCACATAATATGTACCTGTTTCATTTCTTGGCAGAATTGCTATCCAGTTGAGAGCCTGTGCATTCTTTGATAATACATGGATAAGATGAACGCATCCAATTCCTTATTAAGCCATTGTAATGAGGTTGAATTAACATGTTTCGCATAGTAAAACAAAATTTTGTCCCCAAGTCTCATTTCTCCTTGCAAAATAGGAAATTGACAAGACAATGATGTAAATTACTGAAATCACTGTTGATTATTTATAAAAAGACATGTTAATAATGCATAATTAGTTAAACTTTTTGTGGTATGATTTTGAGGATAATTTTATCCATTGTAAATCATGTCAGTCATTGTAGATTCCATTTTCCCATTTAGGGAAGGTCAATTTTACTGCATAAAAATACCATGTTATAGGTTATAGTTTTTTGTACTGTCCTTAACATTTCATAGTTTTCTTAAATTGCAAATTATTGATTATATTACCAAACATCAACCTTATTGTTTATACATCTTAAGAATTGCATCTGTTGAATTCGATCATCCGGTAAAAGTGCAGTGGCAAACATTGAAAACGATGCTTATTGTAGAGTTTAAAGCAACGACATAGCCTACGACTGAATGTCATATTTTCATTAAACTTATTGTATGCGTGACAAATATATATACCTTCAAACTCCGTATCTTTGACACTTTTGGGAAACACCACGATGTTTGTAAACAAAAGGGATTGTGACGGCATTATTTTTTTTATTTTGAAAATATACAAACAATATGTACAATCAAACCATTTATCATATTCTTTGTTTAAATAGTTTACATTCCCTCCCTCTGTATGCGCTTAAGACCTCTTACATTTGCATCAAAACATATTTTCACTTGTCAATCATTTTTATGAAAGTTTATTCATGGACTTGAACATTTCCAGAAAACAAAAAAGACATTTTGAGGAAGTTTATGTTTGACTCATTGTTTGCGTGTAATAACACACAGAAGGAAAATGACAGCTTAAGTTAAAAATAATTTTATTTTCTTTATATGTACTTTTTTATACCAGTCAACTTTGTCATACTTTTAAGACATGTGACTGCACTTCCGAATGCATTCTAGTATAAAAGAGATAACATTTCAATTTTTTTTCAAACAACAAGAATATGAAGCAAAACACTAGGAGGATGAAAGACTAAAAAATCAACCGATTTTAAGAACAGTTTTTGCAAATTCTTGCATGTCCGATTGTTGTAATTCCATTTATCTTGTACTCTCAATACGTACCAGTACAGTTCAAAGATTTTATTTTCCCTCTGACATCGGAATATATTGGATGTTAACGCAGTGTTTGTAGTAAGTATTACATAAAAAATATGGGGATAAAGAACAGTATTTAAGATCAAAAGTCCATAAAAAAATAAAAAATACACATGTAGGAGTAGAGCGAACATGGACCTCCAAAACATCGGAGGTGGGATCAGGTGCAATGGAGGAATGAGCATCCCCTGCCGATTAGACACAGCCGCCGTTTGTTCTTTGTCATGATTGGTATATTCTTAAATCAAATAAAATTGTCATGGAATGTTACATTCATGCATATACACTGTATTCATGCATACATGTATGAAGAAACTCATGAATTCTTAAAAAAATTATTTGTGTGCGTAAAGTTTAAAGCAGATTAATAAGAAATTCACATTTTAAATTTATAAAATCGTTTTGAAAGCTGAGCTTTTGATTAATAGAATACATGGGTACATGTATATTGTATCTCGAAGTATAACAATATAACTTCATGTATTATAAGATTTTTTTTACTTCTTTAAATAACGATCTACGCATAAAATGTTGTTTCTTCAAATTAAATTTGCTGTTTTTCACAATTTAACATGATAAAGTTTCCGTGCTGAACAAAATTTTACATTTTGTATTGATATGATTGAATTAAAAATTGTATTAAAATCAATAATAACTTCCATCTTTTGAACTTTTGGAATATAAAGATGTCCCTCAAACAACCATGTATCTTGTAATATATATGCATCATAGAGCAGACAGATCGAGAAAAATAGAGGCTCACTAAGAGAGGAAAAATGGGATGTAGAGATAAGTAGGCCGATAGGCAAACAGATGGAGAGAAATACAGACGGAGACAGATAGGCAGAAAGAAAGAACAAAGAAGGAGAACCATAACTTTTTAATCATCTGATTCTTAATGTATGCATGTATGTCTGATAATGTATCGATACGTTTCTTACAGCAATGCAATGTATTTATTGAATGAAGTACATTTTAAAGGCACCATCTTCCGGTTTTCCCAAATCTCCTTGAGAGAAAGAGTGTCATATCTCTTCAAAAGATGTTTTATTTACTGTATTTAAAAATTGAACTGCGAATCATTAGTTGTTCAATAAAAAAAACATATCTTTGAAGTGGAATTAAGAAAAATAATTTTCATACTTTGAATGATCCTGATATTTTTTGTTCTTAATAACTCAGTAGCAATTAAGCATATATTTAAGAATCAACCTATATTTTTCCTCCTTAATCCCATGGAAATTGGTCATTAGATTTTTGTTTATTTATTTATACTATTTTTTTTTTTGCAATCCCACTTTTGTGATATCACAATTTTTGCGTGAGCTAGAGTGATGAAGTAAAATAACGTTGATTCCTATATTGAAAAGGTAAAACATTGATAGTGATGTATAAAATATGGGATTACAAGAATCTTTCATGATTTGTGATTTGATATATACGATTGATATGATTTTTATCCAAGTCGTTGAGTTTTTTAAATCCCCTCTCCAAGGCTTTGGGGAAAAACACAACTCGTTGAAAAAAAAAATCATATCCAACCAAAATTTAAAGAGCAATCCAATGTATATTTAGAAATGGTTGAAATAGTGTACTTCATGGTCAATTAATATGATTTCTTTTTTTAAGGGAATACATCATGGCAGGGGTTGTTACACGTCGTCAAGCTGAAACATGTAAATAAACGATTAATAGTAATTTAACTGATATATGGATATATGTATATATATGAATAAAATCTCATTGATGTTTGTTAGTTTTCTATGTCACTACTTAAATAACAAAAGAATTGATATTAAGCTGAATGTTTGTTTCATTCAAGCCATAAAAAAATTAAATTGCAATGTAGCTACTTCACTGATTTCTCCAGTTCCACGAAAACGAACTCGATTTAAAAGGTATTCCTTTTTTCACAAGGATATAATTTAGTCGATTTATTGAAGGTTTCTTAATGATTCACAAAAATAAATGTAGTTGGACCTTATTCGTCCGAACGCATGTGTTCCGGGACATTTTACATGTATGATTAATAAAACAAAACATTTGTTTATATACATTACATAAAAATAAATGTTCCCCCACATAGTTCGACCCGAAAATGAAGCGTTATGATTATCCTGACTTCATTCTACACATAAACTGTATTTTTGATAAAATTTAAGATGGTGTATAATTCTTTTTCTAAATCGAACTGCTTAAAATAATTTTAGCTTTAAAAGTAACCATTTGTTTCTTGAAAATAATTACGTACAATTTGGAATTTTGTAGCCCAAGTTCAACAAATGCACATTCATACAAAATGCAGCTTTTCCATATCACTTTTGAATTCGGCCCATCTGAGCTTAACCTTTTCAAACTAATTTCCGAGGAATTATACTATGTTTGGAAAGAAACATATGAAACGGTGAAAGAAGTCCAAGAACCGATTGAAGGATTATTCCTAATCACTGAAGATGGCGAAAACGTTAAGGACCTGTGTTTGAAATTATTCAAATTTTCTCCAGAAACAACAGACGTCCAAATATGTATGTTTAATTTTCAGAGAATACAAAGTTCAAAAATGTATTCATAAATATATATTTTAGAGTATAAGCGATGTTTGACGTCACAATATGAATGTTGATTTTGGATACATTTGTAACTAAGCACTATGAAATCAAACACTTAAAGATCGAAAATGAAACCGATAGAGTTTATTTCGGTTTTGTGATTATTTTGTTATATATATATACAAATGTATAATTTTAGGCGAAAAAGTAGGGATCACAAGAAATGCTGTGGTTATTTGTCATCTAGGAAAATCGTTTTGGAAGGAAGAGGTAAGCTGTTTTTATTCTTTTGACATTCTTGCAGGTTCTTCTGTCTTTTGTCTTTTATTGACAATTAGGAATTTTACAGATTCCGTTAGATGCCCTACAATCATTGATTAAAGATGTCGAGAAATCAATGCTGTTCTTCCTCGTTGAATCAGAAGTCGACATTGAACGGAAAATCAAGCTGGTCAAAAGAGAGTCCTTCAGCTTTGCGTCACATGTGCTTGACGCCAACAGTGAAAAGAGCATCATATATGAAAAATGTTATGCAGGTCTCGAGAAAGACCTTGCAGATTGCATCTGTGCCTTAAAGATGAAGACAAATACAAGACAATTAAGTGGCTTCCTTAGGCAGATTGAAAAATTGCAAGAAAGGTTACTTACCCGGAAGTCACGTGACTCCTCAAATCTTACAAAGGAATGTATCAGAAACATAAAAGAGTAAGTACGTTCATCCATATTTAAGACTGGTGCTCACTTCACTGTTATATTATTATTGCAATTTAAATATAATGTCCAACTGCATTGTATGTTTATAAAACATTTCTTGAATATTTTTTGCAAAGTTTATGATCTATCATTCGTTTCAATTTTGTTATGTTAACATTTCACATTTTTTTCTAATATATTTACATAGTATTGCATATTTTGTTAGAACAAAAAACCCCAATGTCATTTAATAGGATTTCTGTCATAGTTTTTGACATATCTGTTTCGACTAGATGAATACAAAATTTGTTTTAGTGCAAAGAAACATGGGGTAGTTGGATACAGATTATGTGGTAAAACCTTGCTCATCTTTGAACGCCAACAGCCATTAAACGACCAAAGCAGGAGATCAATAACGAGCCATTTCCAAGGTGATGTCAAATTTCTACAACTGAAACGGGCCTTCACTCCCCAATGCGCGATAAGATGTGGCGGTGAAATCATAAATAAAAGAATAGAAAAACGGGGCAGCTTGGGCATGTTTGGACAAATTACAAACTCCATGAATCAGGACGACTCATTTTCTTCCATTATTGCAATAGCATCTGGTCATCTTTACAATGAAGGGGATTTAGCAGAAGTTCAACAACATGGGGAAGATAAATCGATCGGCCTCTGCATTTGGCCAAATGGGGATACGCTGGGAAATGGAAGATTACATGACATTTCTGTCATAAAGATATATAAGTCTGTATTGCCATTGCTATCAAAAACCGTTGAAGAACTAAATGAAAATGTGTACGTCTACGGACAACCACTTTCTACCCTCGCCGACAGGCTAGTATTCAAGTTCGGTGCCGCCACTGCTAAAACAAAAGGGTACGTCAAAAAAGTCAGTGACTTCGAAGTATTTGACGGGGATGTTATGGTGATCTCGCCACGTATTGGTTTCGAAAAGTTCTCCAACAAGGGAGATAGTGGATCCGTAGTGTTGACAAGAATTGAAAACCGTCTGTATGCCGTTGGTATCGTTTTTGGTGGTGATTTAGATCTTTCTATTGCAGAATGTCTTAGTGCGAAAAAAGAGACAATTGCAGCAAGTCTGAAAAATGCACTCAATCGTTTCACTAGATCAACCAAAAGATCAATAACTTTTGATAAAATTTGACACAGTTTACACGTCGTCGGTAAAATTCAAGTTAAATCTGCATAAATGGTCGCAATTAAGAAACATAAAAAGACATACAGTTATTTACTAAAGAATTATTTGAGCTCTACTTCATTTGTTTTGCTTCCTTTATATTTTACTGTATACTTTTTTATAATGTTATAATTTGTTTAACAATGTCTTATAAAACATGTATTTTTAAGAAGAAAATGGTGTCTATACAATACTTAATAAAGTCTATCTTATTTTCTCAGTATAAAATTGTTCAATGATAATTTATTTGACATAGGCTGATCTACAATAAACTTGATTGGCAAATGGGTTTACTTGGTGTTTTAAGTAGCTAAAAAGTAAATTACAGAGTTACCATTTAAATTACTTTATAAATGTAGAAGGCCAAAAATGTTTCTATCCCTCCGAAGGACTTGGATTTTTCGTTCTAAGCAATGAATTATATCCTAGATCCATAGAAAAATATAGTATATTAGATAAATATTGCATGTAATTGAGTGTGACATTGCAAATTTTCACCCCGGGAAAATCAATGTCAATCAAGGCGCAGCCGAGGTTGACAATGGTTTTCGAGGGTTGAAAATTTTCAATGTTACTCTCAACTACATGCAATATTTATATAATTTACTACATGTGAAAATTAGCGACATCAATCAACCAAACTTGTAAGAGATTTATTAGGACCCAATTAACCGATCAAAACTCATCATCAAAAAGACTAAAGAACAGTCATTACGTAACCCTACAGTACTGGTTACTAAATTTAACCCTTGCGTTAAAGGACTGAAAAAACGAATTCTAAAATATTGGAACACCATTCTTAGAAATCCAGAATGCAAAACTTTATTTAATTCTCAACCAATCATTGCTTACAGCAAACATAAGAATATAGGTGACGAGATAATCCGGTCTCACCTAAAACAAACACCATGATTTATGTCCGTGACCCCTGATGAGGCTTCTTAATAGCCGAAACACTCTACAACTACTTGCATAATTCAAATCAGATATTAATCTGCTCTATGCAAAAAACATATCTACTTAAAGTGTGGTTTGGAGTGTCGGGTACTAATAAATCTCTTACAAGTTTGGTTGATTGATGTCGCTAATTTTCACACTGTTAGGCTGGAGGGCGTGGTTTCATTATTCAGCGAGTAATAGTGTTTTTTTTTTTAAATGTTTCTAGACCAATCAGATTCAATTAATTTACATAAAAGTAAGATATTGTTGATTATTGGTCGATTTTTCCTGCAGATATGGATGACTGTACATTTCTTTTGATAGAATTCGATTTACCATTTTAGTGACTTCAAATCTAGCTCGGCGTCAAATAGTTTGGCATCTGCTATAGAGTTGATATTTCGGTAAAGCAAGTAGTCATCGGCAAATAATTTCACGTCTAATGATGACGATACATGTACTGCAGTGAGTCATTGATAAAGGTGCATACGAGTAATGGTCCTATCACAATCCCCTGGATGACCCCGGAAATGACATCAGTTCTTCATTTTTCTCCATCAAAATTTACCAAAAATTATAATTCTTATTCAATTAAATCCCAAAACAAAATATTTCACAAAAGTAGAAGGATTCATTTGTTTATTATTGGTATAAGCAATACAACCTTGTTGAAGCATTGAAGAGTAAAATGATCGAAGTTGATGATGAATTTGGTGAACTATAAGGTGATAAAACGAAGAGTATTCCCGTTCAGAAGTCCTTTTAAAGACACAGATCAGGATCACAGCAAACATATGCACTAAAATATCGGAGATGGAATCAGGTGCCCTAGAGGCGAAACCTTCCCATGCCGACTGGACCAACCCGTTTATTGGCGTAATCGGGAAATATGTGAGATAATAGTAGACTATTACTTGGCTATACAATTAGTATGGGAAACGTCACTCGGTCGATAACTTGATTAATTATATATTTGCTGGAATGGTCCTAGTAGCAACCATGAAACTTAGATAATAATTTATTAGTGTTAATGAAATATGGGTATTAAGTAAAAATAGAAATAAAAAAGAAAAGAACTAGAAACGATCTCCTTGCGAGCATTATATATATTTGCTGGAATGGTCCTAGTAGCAACCATGAAACTTAGGTAATAATTTAGTAGTGTTAATGAAATGTGGGTATTAAGTAAAAATAGAAATAAAAAAGAAAAAGAACTAGAAACGATCTCGTTGCGAGCAACGAGAGGTCTTCCGTCCGATTCCGGAAAATATTCCGTGTAAAATTGAGCTGAAATGTGGATAAAAAAAAAATTGACATACATGCGATGGAACCTGGGTGTAAGCGTGAAAATCCAAAAACCTATCCATTACGCTATTTGTAGCTCTGCTCTTAATTTACTTGTTTATACATCTACAAGAGTACATCAGTCTTAAAATTATGAAAAGTGGGTCACTATTCATAATATTGAGCCATACGCCGCGAATAAATATTCGCGTCTTTTCTTTGTAGTGTTCTTTTAAATAAGTGTGATTGCTGCAATGAGATAAGAAAATAGAACGTTCGTATCTCCTATATCTTATTTCGAGGATTAGTAAATATATTCAACACATTGTACACATTACATATCGTATCTAGCCAAGTAACACTAAAGCAGTAAAACGGCGATTAAGTTTGAGTTTGACACAAAATTGCAACGTAACTACTACGCGACAATCCAAGTAGTCTTTTACATTACATTTATCCTTATGTTAGTTTTGTTTAAGCAATCGATCGCGATCGACTGCCTTTATAAACCCCGACTTGCGAAATGGTGGAGTTGACAGAGACAGCCGCCATTTTGGACACGCTTCAGACTTTTAAATGTTTATATCTAGAGTTGTGATTTACCAATATTTAAATAAATTATATATTTTGCCTTTTCAGAAGTGTCACTATTAGCATTCCAAAAAGATATGAAAAATATTGAAAAACAAAAAAGTTAGAAAATATGATTTTTTTTAATTTGCATGTCGTAACGACCGGAAGTATTGACGAAGAAAAAATGTCGCGTCCTGGAAAGTGAATATCATGATCTCTAATCCCTGAAAGTTTCACATCGATATCCTTTACCGTTCTTGAGATTAACCGTGGACAAAATGTCATTTTAAAATCAGGAAAAGTCCCGTAACTTGGCAAAAGGAAATTTCCAACAAATTGCTAAGATAGATCAAGTTCATGTTACGAGACATCTCTTCTGATAATTTCATGTAATTCTATCCCGTAGTCTTTGAGAAATCGCGTGCACAAAATTAGAAAGTCAAAAAAATAATAAGAACAATAATAATAAGAAGAAGAAACAATAGAATAACTATGAGGTCTTCCGTGAAGACGGAAGACCTTAATGAAAAGCAAAAATTCTCAATATCAAAACAAAATGATTGGAAACAAAAAAGGAAATACAACTATAAATTATAAAAGGAAAAATGTAAAAAAGATTTTTTTTTTTTAAGTGAATTTTAAATTTAAAAAAAAAAACGGAAAGTAACATACGAAATTAAGATATGCCCGGTACACTTTAATTTATAGCGATTTGGAATATATGGAGTACCGATGATCAAGAGAAAGTCTTTGTTACGAAAGTAGGAGTTATGGTTCATGGGCCTATTAAACCTGGTCTGGGAGAAAACAACTTCATTTGGTTTATTATCGAAATAAATCACTAATGTTACAAGTTGTCAGATATCTTTAAAATATAAAATAATATAAACTGTGTATATGCCTTTAGAAATAGTCCTAAAATGGAAAACATGTAATAAATGTACCAGCGGCAATCTGTAAGGATAACTAGCCTTAATTTAATAACATTGCAAATTTCACAACTAAACATTATATATTAAGATAATGTAAATAATAATAAATCTTAAAAATGAATCCCACGTTTGAAAATTAACGATTATCATAACATGACAAAAATATTTTTAAAGAAATCATTTATGGTAAATTCGTGAGTTCTCATATAAAAATGACAAAACAACAAAACTACAAAGGTATTCTAGGCTGTCTCAGTTTATAAAAAATATACCAGCTATCTGTCTTATATCTATCAGTACACCAAGTATTTAATTCTTAGGAATCAAGACAACCCTATTTATATATATATATAGAATATTGAGGCGATGTCCTTCAAACCTTCATTCAGTTGATTTATTGCCAATGATTTGTAGTTCCGTCTATCGACAGGTTTTTTGGAAGAGAGAAATGGTTGGTGATATCCTGCTAAGAAGGACTTATTGTTAACAGAATCTGCCTCTGAGGATGACAATACATCAAGCAGATATTTAATTAAAATATTATTTTAAATCAATTTTTTTTACTTTCCTCTCATGATATCATGAGGAAAACAAAGAATTTTAGTATCTTTATAATTTCATAGTACTCTTTTTTCATCATGATACTGTAAATGAGTTTCCGTTTGTTTTATCTCCTTCACTACATGTAGGGTGTTAGAAAAATCATTTAACATTTTTCTTCTATTCTCAAAATAAAAAACGATTAGACGAAAAAATGAAATATATGGAGATAATGAACAGTATTCAAGCTCAAATTCCATAAAACAATACAAAACAGGAGCAAAGCAAACACGGACTTCTAGAACATCAGATGTGGGGTCAGGTGCCATGGGGAAATGAGCATCCTCTGCCCTCCGGTCACACCTGCTGTGTGCTCCTTGCCAAGATCAGGAATTACAAGGTGAAATCTGTATTTAATTTGATGTATAAATTATGGACTAACAATTAGTTTGAAAGAAGTCAGTCAAAATTTGACTTAATAAAAAATTGTATTTGCTGGCAAGGTCATTGTAACGAAAATTCTTTTGAGGATAATATTAACTCCGATAACTGAGATATATAAACTCCGTATGCAGGTGATGAAGGTATATTGCTGCATAATTTAGAGAAGTTGACGATTGAAAAGTTAAAGTTATCACGTTTATCATAGAGCTTGGTTGTATGAATATAATTAACGCCTTTTTCAAGTAAAAATCCAAATATGAAGCAATGTGTTTGTCTCTGTGATATCTTGTATGTCACGCCCACATGGATGTATCGTATAGACATAAGAATGGAAATCACTATTATTAAACGACAATACGTCGTCGATACCGCTAAATATCAAATAGAAAGCCAGAGCAATTGTTTTCTTCTTTTCATATGTAATATTTTGGACAAATTCTTCTTCATATGAATACAAAAATAGGCCTGCTAAAACAGGAAGTAATTGACCCAAACCTACTTAAAGAAATCCCATTATCTTGTTGAAAGACCTTGTCTCCAAATACCACATTGACAACCTAGGTACATTTAC